TATGAATCCTGTAAAAAGACGTATTAGATGCAGATGAATAAATAGGAAAGCTGGTATTTTATGAACAATTCTACAGTGGTTGAATTCATGAGTCAATTGAAGCACTGGACGGTCGTTTCGTTCTAGTATGGGACTTCTCAGCAATGCGCATCCACGATTCAAACTCGCGTGATTTAAACACAGGACCTACTAGTCTCACGCTTGAGCGCTTAACCACTAGACCACTGAGCCCGGCATCTAACGGTCGTCCAGTGCTTACATGTGTTCCATAGTAGTCTAGCTAAAATTGAATCATGAATTCAACTATTAAACTAATAACTATTTTCATATATACCCAAAACGTATTCATCATCATCTGAACATTGGTAATGATCTGCCTAGATCCTCAAACAACGGTATTAAATTTATCATTGGAATTCATAATTGTATTCAAGATAATTTAAGTGTCATTGTTATGTTTTTCCAAAGATAGACTTCCAGGTTTTCCATGGTGGTCTAACTTCAATTAACTCATGATTTCAACCATTGAAATTTCTAAAAAATCTCCACAAAACCCATTCAAATAATAATAATCATATACTCACTAGTGACTGTTTCCAAAAGTTATTTCCTAGAGTTCTAGTGAGGAGACGTGATCAATAAAGTTCAGCCGGGTGTGTTGTGAGATTATTAACTCACTGAAGACAATGGTGGATGTGTTGCTCAATTTCGTGGATTGGTTGAAGTTAGACATTAATACTGTCGGATGCCGATCCAGTGGTCTAGTGGTTAAGTGCTCGTCCGCGTGACTGATATGTTCTGGGTTCGAATCTTGCGGGGAGCGGGATTGTTGATGAGAAGCCCAATACTAGGACAAAACGACCGTCCATTGCTTCCAGGTTTTCCATGGTGGCCTAGCTTCAATTTACTCATGATTTCAACTATTGAAGTTACTATAATATTAACAAAAAGCTCCTTCTGATATTCATTATATTTGTTTGAATTTCCCTCATAGAATTCAGGTTATAATAGGTTATTGAATGTGTAATGTATATGGGTTTGAATTGATTGTCATATACATTTACTATAGAGATTATTTAATACAGTTATATGTTCAACAACAGCAGTTTGAATGACTCTCTCGGTCTCTCATATTGTATGAACATCCTATGTATCTGAATTAATGGTTGCTGTGGTTTTCAGAAGGGGCATCAGCTTCGTGATTTATGAAGGAATTCATCTTTCACCATTAGATGTCATAACTCATCTGAATGAAAACCTACTCCCAGGGCTAAGTTTAATGGTTTGATTTATTTTTTATTTTTGGTTAGCATTTTTTTAGTGAGTTAGTTTTCTACTGGATGGGGTTGCTAACTCTATACCCGACCTTTCTCCTTAATCCGGGCTTGAAACCGATGGCAGTAACCCCAAGGGTTGGGCTCCAGGTGAAATTATACTTTTCATGTTATATGTTGAATTGGCTTTAATTAAATCTTTAACCATCAACAGTCTACACGTTTTCTTCATTGGATTGAAATTCCTTTTTTTATCTGTTAGTGTTGTTCCTGAAACCTAAAGATGGTTTATCGACGAGATTATAATTTATGAACGAATCAATCAGATTTACGATGACTAGTGTCAGATTTCGGCGCGAAATTCATTCACGCATTTGGTTAAATAGAGTTTTTGCATTATAGCTAATGTCTGTCCGTGATGAAAATCATCCAAATGTAATTCCTAACTCTAATTATCAACTGTAAATATTCATATTAATTACTCACGCTTGTTTATAACCCTCATTTAGCTATGGTATGTAGATAGACATTGTCAAGGTCACTTTAGCGCCACATAACGTTTGTCCATAAATTATAAACTCACCGACATTTCTAGATGAATATTGATTATGTAATGTATTCATCGGAATACTTCTAAACTATTTTGATTGAGATCATGAACCGATTGATGTTAGACCACCATTGGAAACCTGAAAGCACTGAAAAGCCGTTTCGTGGTATTACCGAACTCCTCAGCAGTGCGCAACTGCGATCTTGCTCGCGGGATTCCAACCCAGGACCTCCAGTTTCGCGCGCGAACGCTTAACTTACTGGACCACTGAGCCGGCATCCAGTGGTTTTAGTGTCTAACGTCAACCAACTCACGAAATTGCGCAACCATCTTCCATTGTACTGAGGTAGACACCTGTTTCTACCCGACATAGATTAGCTCCACTGATCACGGTTTCTCACTAGAACTCTGAGAATTCTCTCACGAAGCTAGTCACTAATGAGTACATGTTAATTATTAGTATAGGGGTTGTGGAGATTATTACGTTTTTGATTGAGATCATGAATCGATTAATGTAAGACCACCGATGGAACGTGGAAGCACTGTCCCATGTGATACTACAAAAACATAAACTTATTTAGAATAATCCATTAGTGAGTTTTCATTGAATGACTATTTCTTTAATGGACTTCAATTATTACACAATAGATCAATATTAGTTAATATATAATGAAATTTCATATTGTATAAAGTAAATATGATTTTCCTATAGTTAGATCATAGTAGCCTAAGTGTTTAAATTCTATTTTTGTTTTGATGAACTTATTTATCTATTTAAACATATATATGTATATATAGCGGTGGAAAGGGGCATTGTATAAATATGCCCATACAAGTCAATTGTTTCGTATGTGAGATATGGGATACTACTCGAGTGTCGAAACCGAAAAAGGTGGTTTTCTAAGGGTGGAAACCTGGAGTCTTTGGTCTAAAGGTCTGATCCATAAGGCAGTAGATCGACGTTAGGAGATCCAGTCTCATGTTAACCGGTGACCAACAATAAGCTCATACACCATTTGTTCCTTCAGGATCCTAGAAGCCAGCCTATATGTGCCATTGGTTTGGAATCGGGGTTTTCCAACTGCCCAAGCGGATTATCCATATCCACCGACCCGGTTAGATCGCCGAATATTCACTTTTCTTTATCTCAATTTACTAAACAACAGTAATGTCGCAAGAAGGTAGTGAGTAATATTTTGTTGACAGTAACTGTATACGCGTGAACATATGTGAAATGTCCCATACTAGAAAAAAATGGTCATGTAGTGCTTTCAAACTTTCCTTAGTGATCTAATGTTAATCAATTCATTGATTCAACTAGTAAAATGACTAAAACCTCCATGCCAAACCCTTCCCTTTTCAAAATAATACATAATCATCGCAGTATATAAATTAGTTCATTATCACAATACATATATACTTAATTACTTTCTTACTTACTTACCCTACTTTAATTTACTTACTTACTTTACTTTGCTTACTTACTTTACTTTAATTTACTTACGCCTATTACTTCTAATGGTGTATAGGCCGCCGACCAACATTCTCCAACCCACTCTGTCCTGTGACTTGCTTTCTAGTTCGATCCAATTGTTGTTCATTCTTCTCATGTTTATCTGTTTCCATTTCTCGGCGTAATGTGTTCTTTAGTCTTCCTCTTCTCCTTTAGTGTTCAAGATCTCAAGATGAGGACTTGCCTTGTGATACAGTTAGGTGCTTTCCTCAATGTTTTTCCTATCCACTTCCTGATTTCTTTCTTTGTTGAAATCTAGTTTGTTCCCTCCCATAGTAGGTTATTGCTAATAGTGTCTGGCCAATTGGTTTCGAAGTATTTTGCGTAAACATTTACATACATATATACTAATTTCATCTTTACTTATATTACACTATGTTTGTTCGATTGATCAATCGATCAATCGATTGATTGCTTGATTAAATGATTGTTGAATCAATAAGAAAAATCTTTTTCTCTTTTTTCTGTTAAATCAATATTACAGGTTGAAATCATGAGTCAGTTGAAGCTAGACCACCATTGAAAACCTGGAAGCACTGGACGGCCGTTTCGTCCTGATATGGAACTCCCCGGCAGTGCGCATCCACGATCCCGCACCACACGTGGCTCGAACCCGGGACCTACTGGTTTCGCGCGCGAGCGCTTAACCACTAGACCACTGAACCGGCATCCAACGGTGTTAATATCTAACTTCAACCAATCTACGAAGTTGCGCCACCGTACACCATTGTCTTCAGTGAGTTCCTATCTCACAACAGACCGGTTAAACTCCACTGGTAACGGCTTCTCACTAGAACTCAAGGAGTTTTTCCTGAAGTCAGTCACTAGTGAGCTGGTGATTATTATCAGAATGGGTTTTGTGGAGAGTTTTAGAAATTTCACAAGTTGAAATCATGAGTCAGTTGAAGCTAGACCACCATTGAAAACCTGATGCTCGTGCGTGAAACCAGTAGGTCCTGGGTTCGAGCCCCGCGTGGTGCGGAATCGTAGATGCGCACTGCTGAGGAGTCCCATATCAGGACGAAACGGCCGTCGAGTGCTTCCAGGTTTTCAATGATGGTCTAGCTTCAACTGACTCATGATTTCAATCAGTGAAATTTCTTAAACTCTCCACAAAACCCATTCTGATAGAAATCAATATTAATTTCTTGAAACATTTATAGATTACCATTTGAATTGATTGATTTTTTGTTTATTTAACTTTCTATACAAAAATATGTAGGTAATTTTGATCATTAACAATATGATAAAGTAAAATGATTAATTTAAATAAAAGAAAAAGCGGGAAAGAATTTTTAAATGAAATGAGTTTTAGATTAGAATAAATTTTTTTTATAAAAAAAAAGAAAGAAAAAAAAGGGGGAAAAACGTTTTTTTTATATACTACTGAAATACTCTCATTTCTTTTATTGTTGCTGACCTCACTTAAAATATCATAACAGATATAGATATATGTCTATATATACATATTTGTAAACACTTATACATAACATGTAACTAACCAACTATATGTATATAGATATGTATGGTTACTATGGTTACTATCTGTTTAATAATAATATGAAATACTAGACTGATATAATTAACCAACCAATCTATGATATTACTATGAATATGTAACATATATAATACAATACAGTACAGTACAATATAATAAAGCACAATACAATATACAATACAATTCAATAGAATACAATACAATATAGTTTTACATTGTTTATTTGCTTGATATTGAATTCAATGAAAGAATAAACAATAGTGATCTTTATATGATTCTTTTCTATATCGAAAAGTGTGATTTATATGATTGTTATATGTTATATTGTGAAAATAAAAGGTAAGTTTTTATATGAAGAAGAAAGAAAAACTCATATTGATTGTTTATTATACTATTTTAATGTATGGTATTGATATAAGTTAGTTAATTAGTTAGTTATATAATATACTATTATAGGTCAGGGTAATTTAACATTGGTTTTTAGGAGAATCAAATATTATCCGGATTTTCACATGACAACCTAAACAGTACAACTCAATCTAGTTTAACAGGAGAGCCAGACACCGTACAGGCTTTAATGCTACAATCTGAATAGTACAGCTCAATTCTGTGGTGTAACCATACAGGTATCAAGTACCCTGGTGGATCATTCGCACTATTCATATACACATTTATGTCATATATATATAGTTATTATGATCATAGGTCGTATGAATCAATTATGCACAGTACGAACAGGTCAAAGTTGACCAATTTTGATTACACGATAGTCAAACCCATTAATGTTAGCAATGGTGACATGCCTTACAATATCCGAATGACGGTGATATTTGAGAACATTGAAAAGCAACCACTAATATGAATGAAATCGGTTAACCAGCAAACCAGTATTATGCATGAACAGTCAGCAAAACTTTCCAAAGTAATGCTGAATCATCCACAATACCAATGGCGAACCTCCCACCTCATATGACACTTTCAGCTCTACATAGCCCTATAGCTTTGATATTACTTCTTCTTCTTCTTCTTCTTCTTCTTCTTCTTATTATTATTATTATTATTATTATTATTATTATTATTATTATTATTATTATTATTATTATTATTATTATTATTATTATTATGAATTTCGATAATGTTATAAACATATTTGTATAATAAGCATAAATGAATAGTGATGGGTAGTTGGATCCAGGATACACATTTTGTCAGCTAGACGTATCAGCATCTAAAAGTTGATGTATACTCCACGACTCGAACTTACTGACATTTGGTTCGCTTCAAATACTATCATATATTATTTATTTAGCTATTGAGTTCTGACAGCCTTTTACTTGTGTGTCTTAGAATGAACATCAATTGTGAGATGCTGATATATTCAGCTGATAAGTTTCGAATAAGTCATAACGCATGTCATGGATTCTACTGTTAGCCATTAGTCGTCTTTTCTTATAATGCTTGTGAATAAACGCAATATCGAGGTAATCCGCATAGAATACATATATGCCAATAACAGACTGGTCAATTACAGTCCGAAATATCAATGGGAAGATTCAAATGAATTATTACATGACATCAATCAGCAAATAGACAATGAAAACTAAAGTTGACACTAGATCACATGAAACGTGTCAAAAGTGTGTGCAATAACTATTCTGACTAAAAAACAATAGGCAAAATATTCAAGTAGTATTACAATATCATTAAGGAGGTACCTAGTGGTTTATATATATATGTTCAATCTTAGTGACATTTATCATACAGAGTAATTTTGATCTGGTCATCAGTTGAGAATGATGGGACTCGTGTTACGTATGCTCCGATGTGCGATGTTTTATGGTGTAAGAGTAGGTTGGAAGAAATCTAGTGGTGGCCAGATCAAAACATGGTACCAATCCATAAAGTCACTGACAATTGGACTTATACATGTTGGTAGGTGTAGACTACCTGGTTATGATCCGCAAGATGATAGAAACCGATGGTTAGAGACGTTGAATAACATGGCTCAAAATCGTTTGCGATGGCGCAAGTGCATCCACTCTTTGTGTTCTTCCAAATTCTAATCTTCTGAATTCTTCATGTCCCTTTTTTTAGCCCTTTCTAAATTTATTCCACTGTATTATACTCCTTGAATAACATCCTCAAACCTTAATTTTTCCGATTATCGTTTATACTACTTCTACCACAGTTGGATTTGAACTGACAATTGTATCTTTGTACTCATGTTGCATAGCAACTTGAACTGATGTATGTACGTACGTACGAAGTTCTACGTTGTTAGTGACTGACTGACTATCTCACTTAACTTTAAATCACATAGTTCTAATTGGAACTTACGTGAAATTCTATTTTGAAATAGACCTTAAAACATAATTACCATTCTAGTAAAGTTGTTAGTTATTTTAGTCATAGATCATATTAGTGTTTAATTTTAATTATTGATTAAATATTATCAATGAAGTGATCTAGTAAACCTACTATTGATTAGTATAAAATGATGGAATTGACTATAAATTCAACTCCGAAATTTCAAAAATATCCCTACCCAATGATCAATCAATTGTGAACACATTTCAGTCCTACAGGAGGTCAGTCGCGGCTCGGATAGCTCAATGGTAACGTCACTAACTATGAAGCTGGGTGACACGAGGTTGAATCCGTCAGGGAGCGTCGATTCCCTTGAGACTATAAGCATACCCTGCTGACGAGTGCCAAATAGCACGAAACTCAGGTCTAGGGTTTCCTGTTGACTACCTCCAACCACTATCTAATTTGATTTATTAGCAAAATCCAACATCATGTAAATTGATAAAGATCACAATTGTAAACGATAAATAAAAGACGTGACCTGTGGAGCTAATCAGTATCAGGTAGAGACCGGTATCTATCTTAGTACAATGGAAGATGGTCGCACAAATTCGTGGACTGGTTGAGATTAGACATTAACACAGTTGGATGCTGGCTCGATGGTCTAGAGGTTAAGCGTTCACGTGCGTGTCAGACAGGACCCGGGTTTGGATCCCGTGAGCGGGATCGTGGATGCGCTCTGCTGAGGAGTCCCATACTGGGACAAAACGGTCGTCCACTGATTTCAGGTTTTCAATAATGCTCTAACTTTGATCGATTCGTAAATCATATTCATGGCTGGATGTATTGCTTGAAGGTCAAGATTTCATTAAAAATAAAAATCATCCAGCAAAACTGAATGATGGGAATTATTCACATCTCCCTGTTATGGAGAAGTTCAGTGTAGCACACCTAGATATAACTAGTTAAGAACATAAATATAGTAAACTTTAAGGCCTAAAATGAAATGATTACTGAAAATTACACTCTTGTATGCAACAGGCACCTACTAGGTGAAGAGAAATTGATTAAAATTGCTAGGAACGTTGTGAATAGGTTTATCCCTTTACGGACTTAGATAAACTAAACAATTCAGTTGAATTTATTCAAAATGCATCAATTGATAGTCAGTCATAAACAATGTAGAACCTGTCACGTAGACATATCAGTTCAATTTGCCACAGAATATCAGTAAATCGCTAGATAATTGGAAAGCATAACCATAGACAGCATAATTAGAGAACCCGGCCGTTGCTGCTACCATAATGTGGTGCTTAGGCTTACTCATCGTGATGAACCAGTGATTTCTCAAGGTCCTACCATGCCAGACTGATCTGTTGAAGGACGATAAGACTAAAAGCAGCAAACTCACGATACGAGAGAGAAGCCATACTGCTGACTGTACACAGGTTTGATGGCAGTAAGGGGTCCCCCCAAGACAGCCAGCATAGCAGCGATGCTGCCTTCCCTCAAAGGAAGATTGGAATTAGAAAAGTGTCGACCCCAAATACACACACCTTGCCTTATCCCACAGATATCTTTCTTCGGTGGTAAGATCGTAACAAGTACGGAGCTAACACAAAAATTACTCAGAAACGTTTGTGTGCGATCGACCTCATGGAGTTGTCCCTTGGGTGTTGCGGTCACACTCTCAGGTCACTAAGACCAACTCTAACCGAATTTCCTTTTCAGGTACCTCTCGAAGAACCTTTCTATCGTATGGACTACGGGGAAATAAAAACCACCCTCATACTTCTAACAGCAATCAAGATCACTGTATTTCGAATTAATTTACCCCTGATAATTCGTGGAATAAAGGTATAAAATATATTAAAAACTCAGAATCTAAATAAAGACAAATAGTAAATACATATGCATCAGCGCTTCTACTTCTGAGTTGTTTCATATAATGTTTCTAACTACTTGTTATGATAACCGCGTTGACCTCAAGAGAGCACTTTGAAGTTACTCACATGGTTGAGTCAAGTGATAAGTTTAATATCAAATGATTCAACAAATTGAAATCACTTATATCTGTCTTTTCATAATTATCAATAAATGTGTAAGTAGTATTGCAACGTTGAGGCGGTGGAGAAGATTTGTAGCTCAGGTGGATGATTTTGATGGAGTTTCGTTCTCTGAGCTGGATGGTTTGGTCATGGAGCTTTCATTGTTCTTCTGTACAACATCATCAGCACAAACTTCAGATAGTGCAGAAGTGCACTCCATCAAAAGTATTGCAATGTTCAACACTCTTAATTTTTCATAGGATATCCGAAAAGACATAATTTATGAATAACTATTTTGTTGATCGTTTGCTTGTATAACTGTGTTTAGCTAAGAAAATGGAAACAGAAAACTAGTTTAAAATATACAATACATATAAGTAGTATTCTGTTAGTAAACATCTCAGTTACTGCCCCCAAATGCCCTGGTATGACCGAGAGTGTGGAGAGTTAGCTGTTTCCTTCAAAATGTTCTCATATGTCACGTGCATATAACCACTGCCACGGAAGTTCTATCCACTGCCTTTGTCGCTACTGAGGTGCTGTTTACGAAATTCAGAAGACGAAAGTAAATGTCCGGCGCTTTATCCAGCTTAGTAAGTACGAATGCTTCACCTAGGGGAGTTGGGAAACCTTCATTCGGAATCAATGGTACGCATGAGACCATGAGACTGTATCTCCGTACATTTCTCAATTGCCTTGTGGATTAGACCTCTAGGTCAAAGGCTCGGGGTTTGGCAACTCAAGATAACCACCTACATCAGTCTCGGCACCCGCGTAGCATCAATGTTTAGGTATTTAAATAAATAACAGTCACTAGATCAAGTTAACAAATAGTAATATTTATTATCATTCTTATTTCTTGATACCCATTTTTTAAAGAAAATGTTAGGACAGGACTTAAAAACCGAGATGTTTTCATAACTGTTTTAAAGGTTTTTATGGGCATTAAAGTAATTTTAATAGTTGAGATCATGAATCAATTAA